ACATGCGCATGCTTGTTCCGACTGGAGCGCAAGTGAATACTTGAGATCGCCAATAATCAAGGACAGATACGTGTGTGTGGGAGGGGATGAAAGCCTGTTGTGCTTTATGAATACAAAAATGTAATAGTCTGTATAATGCTAGCTAGTTTCGGGAGTTCAGTAATCGGGTCTGGGGTTATCTGTACAAAAAGATAGCAGAAAGTGCCAGCGTCGTGATATACACAGTACGGGAGCTGTATGCTTAGGGAGATACATTGGAGCGAGTGAGCATCAGATCAGGTGAATAGAACACAATTTCTGTACGATAGCGTCGCGCATGTATGTATGGCTAAGTTCGTCGGCAGTTTCGCCATCAGGGAAGGAAACAAATGAGGATAGTTCAAAGTTCCGTCTGTTTGACCAGACATATCAGAACGAGTAGAGTGTGTGCTTGACTAAAATGGCATTGATCCCGGGGTGTAATCCATAAACGCGGACAACCGTTCTCGTCGGAGTGGACAGGAGCCACGTGTTTCTGCCAAACCCAGTAGTTCTTCCAGTGTATTCAGGAATGCGCCGTGCCACTCACAGGGTTGATAGCGACAAAATAACAGCCGACTGATGATGTAACAACAAAAGCCGGCGAATGCTATTAGACCCCCCGCGAGCAGAACAATTGGGTAGTTATGCTCCTGTTCGGTCATGGTTGTTGATCTCCTTCGAATCACAATTTCAGTGGTGGACTGGATTGCCGATTCGTCATCAGAAATCGTTTTCTCCTCCAAACTGGACGGAGGTGTGTGAGGCCGATCGACTATCACTGGGCTGGGTTTATCTGCATCCTGTTTGAAAGAGTGGGTGGATGCAAGAGAAGAAAGAGGTGAAAATCGAACTTATCTGATCGGTCCAGCGTATTTTGAAAACAATAAATGTGCAAAAATTATTTCCGCTTTCTCGGTAGTCAGATACATGTTGAAAAAGAAGTTTAACTAATCAGTATCAGAGTAGACACAGTAGCTGTTTGCATACGTGTGAGTTAAAAGTTCGGCATGCGGACCACAGAACCAGAAGCGAGATTATGATAATGAAAAAAACATGCAGTTTAATGAAAATAATAATGGTAATGAGGAGGCGGAGAGTAAATTCCAAAAACCAAACACCCTATGTTATTCGTGATACCTTTATCTGACTCTAATTCATGTAGAAAACATACGTACAAAAACACATCAAGCTCTCTGAGTTCAGATGAACAAAGCAGATCAATTACGTTTCCAACGGACACGTTTTTCAACTCTGTTTTCGATCAATATTTGCATCATGGCGTATGGTGTGCATCCAACAACTCCTCCCCCCCCCCCCACACACACACTTGGCTGCACAGTTACTAGCCATAGGTAGGTTAACCACGCGTGTCACATCAATCGATTGGTATCGAGTGAATGACAACAGAGTAAATTTCTGAGAGAACAAAGTAAACAGCGATAAAACGTGATATTGATTGATTTGACTGACTATCCTTCAGACGTCACCTTCACGCACAATCCCCAGTTCATCCATGCAACCATACACTCGGAAGCGCTAGACTTGAGTTTCGCTCTCACTAGAGCTCATCAGTAGTGCATATCCACCGTCCCGTCCGGGAATTGAATTCCGGACCCATAGTATGGAAGGCGTGTGCGTTACCACTGCGCCAACCAGCTCATGCAATGGCTGAACCAAACTGCCAATTCATGTTTTGTTCAGACGTTGTCTTCAGCGATAGTCAGTCAGTTCATTTGGTCCGACGAAAACGAAGGGAGACAGTTGACTGTCTGTTAACCCCAATCGAAAGCCTCCCACCAAGTCA